TGCATAAAGATACACATTCTAGGAAAGTATTGTTTCACAAGATTCATCTTTTATATTTAAATATATATTATTAATTAATAATGATTAGTTATAAATTTCAAGAAAAAAATTTATAATTATTATGTTCTTATTAATTTAAAATCATGGAATAGATAAACATATAAAATTATTCATATAATATTTAAATTTAATATATTTTATTAATCTATCTGAAAAATCTAAAATATGTAACATTTTGAAACATAGGAGTATAAGACAATCTCCACTAAAATACTAAACTTTCATTTTAATATAATTTTATAGTTTTTAATCCAAAGTTCAAATTATTTTATTTAATACAAAACTAGTATATTATACCAATTTGGTGTGATATTATTCATTATACCAAAAATTAATTACTTATTTTTGTTAATAAAAGACAACTAAATAAATATTTAAGATGATAAAATTCATATAAATTAACAAAATATATTATTATAATTATATATTATATATAAATTAAAATATTTTATTTTAAATCTAAAATTTAAATATTATTATATATTAAATAATAACTATTTTAAAAACATTTTATAAAGATAAAACATCTCCAGCTAGGATTGTAACAGAAAACATAATGTCATATTTTTATGTAGTGATTCTGAAAGCGATAAGGGTTTGCTCCCCGTTGCAACCGTTTGCCGGCTCTCTCCCTCTAGCTGTGTAGGTTGTGTCTATTTTTCAAACCCTAGACTAAAAACACATCTAAAACATGTATAACAGCTGAGATAATGATAACAAAACAACAGTCAAAAATTCATTTGATCAAATAATATTCCGGCATGGATAACTAGTAATATTAATTGCAGACAATTTTCTTTTCACCCCTATCAAATAATATTCACCATTTCTCCTCTCAGTGATAAAGCATAATTACCCAAATAATTTAGTCCACATCTATATTATTAAAATTGAAGTACACAATGAAGTTGTTTGGAAACTAGAATAGTAGACTAAATGAATATATGTTTGGAAATATGGATAGTAGTAAAACAATAATACTTGCCTAATTTGAGTGATTTTTACAGATTTTGTTTCTATTTTAATTAATTCTAATAGTTTCATTTATTATCTTTACTAAATATATTGATATCATTTATTACAGAATTACAAAACAAAACGTATTTATTTTCAATTTTTTATTTTATATTTTACATTCATTTTCACTTTTAAACTATTTCATTAATTATATTTAATATAATATTTCGACAACATTTATTTTACATATTAACTATAATAATTTGACATATTTGAATGAAATGACTCTATATGTACAAGAATTAAAATGGTTAACTATTTTTTTTATTTGTTTACATAATCAGTTAAACATAGACATTCGAATACCTGTTCAGCTACGAGTTATTTATTTTGGATATCAGGTTTTTTTTAGTTTTGAAACTAGAATTCATTCGGTATTATAATTTTTCATGTGGATATTTCAAATCGGTTTTCACAAGTCGAGAAGAATTCAATTTTGATATATAAAAACCTATAAATATCCAAAAACTAATATATCTGAGGTCAGTCCGGATATTTGTACCAAACTTAACAATATTAACCGATTTAGTTTGGGTATTTTGAATTTAAACTAAACTTAACCTAAAAATAACCAAATAACTAAAACTAACCATATTACCATATTTGATTCGGGTTTGATTCTAATGTATAGAAACCTAAAAATATTCAAATATTCATACAATTAATTATATTATGATGCATATAAAATATCTAATAGTAATCATGAAAGAATAAAAATCAATATATAAAAATATTTCAAATCGGGTTTTCACAAGTCAAGAAGAATTCAGTTTTAATAATTAGAAACCTACAAATATCCAAAAACTAAAGAATCTGAGGTCGATTTGGATATTTGTACAAAAAGATAATAATATTAACCGATTCAGTTAGGATATTTTGAATTCAAACTAAATATAACATAAAATAATCAAATAACCAAAAAAAACCATATTACTCTACTTGATCCGGATTAGATTATGATGTATAGAAACCTAAAAATATTTAAATATTTATAAAATTAACTATATGATGATAATATAAGATATCTAATACTAATTATGTAAGAAAACAATATTAATTTATAAAACAGTAAAAATAAGCACACGCACGGGCGTGCGGGTCAATCTCTAGTAAAATATTAATTGCAGACAATTTTCTTTTCACCCCTATCACGAATTCCAACACACGCATGTTCGTTCACTAATTTGCCAGTGAGTCACCTTTATTTGTTACTTCTTGAGTCTTCTACTTTTAGTTGAACCTAAATGATAGGAGTAATTTGTTTATAGAAAAAATACACTGACAAATTATATTAATATTACGTTTTCATATATATCACGTGTGATAAACCAAATCATATACCAAACTTCAATCAAGTAAGTGTTGCTTCTTGCCGACAAAAACAACAGACAAAAGGTTGGTCAATGCCCAATTTTATCCATTTCGTAAAACACATAGGGTGTGATTGGTATATTTCTCTGTTTTAAATCGCGGATACCTAACCGACTAGACACCTACTTAATCACTGCTCGAATTTAATCTGCTACAGTTTTATCCAAATCAAACAAAAAAATCGAAAATCAACTAATCAGCCCAATAAACCGAAATCACCTCATTTAAGCGATTAATCGATCCAGCACTTTTGTATTAAAACAAAACTTAAAATTTTAAGATATCTTTGAGCTTTAAAAGAGGCCTAATATCTTACCTACTGATATGAAGGTAGAAGACAATATATAGAACACGTTTTAACCTGGTTTTTCTCATTTAGTCGATGTAGGACTTTGGCTTTTAAAAATATAATAAAACGAAAATAATTAAAGTATTGATGAGAGTGTAGATGGATATCAAAGTCAGGTTACACAACATATTACCAATGGGCTGGACCACTAGGAGACATTGATTTAATTGGAATATTATGAATATGTCACTATATATACATAGAAATATAATAAAAATATAAAAACTAATTTCTAATTAATTTTTGATTAATCTTCAATTTGTTGGGTTAAGTTTAATCCAAATGTCTGACTAGTGTCCAGCGAATTCTTAAATATGGATATTTATTAGAGTAAAATAGAGAAAATAAAAGATTAAAAATGGAGGAAAAATCAAATCAGGAATAAAACCAACATAACCTTTTCTTTTATTATAAACCATAAGGGAAAAAAATTAACAGTAACGAACGTAAAAGAAGTTAAAAAAATTTACACCTAACTGACGTAATGAAAGATGAACCAAAAAAAAGTTTTCTACTCATATTGTTTCGCTACTTGTGACATCCAATTACACTTTAGATACTATATATATATAGTTTTGTGCTATTTGATCCATCGATTTTAATTACCTCTAAACTTGTAGTCATTTATTTCTATTAGAGTATATAAAATTATGTAAATATTTTTTAAATATACAACTGACATATTTTCCGTTTAAAGAATATTAATATTTAAAATAATCAGATATAGTAGGATAAAGTGTGTTTAACTTTTACAAGAAGATTTAAAAAAATATTCACAAGAAACTTGAATTCTAGATTTAAGAAAAAAATCAGTAAAATTTACTCTCGAGAAACCAAACGAGACTCATAGCAAACACACAAAACAAGATTTTTTTTAAACTAACCCAAAAACCGTTTGAACATTGGAAAAATAATAATTTACTATTAGCAGTAAAAAGATTGAGAGACACATTACCGACAAAAATCACAGAAAGGGCTTTCAAAAATAAAATAAAAACAGAAAAGAGCAATATGCATAGAACTACAAAGCTAAAAACAATCATGTTTTCAGTGAGCAGTTGTAATAAGGAACCATCTATATGCGTCCAATCAAAAGATTTGACTATCCAAGTTAGTATTGACAATGCCAACCGAAATATATACGTTGGGCTCAAAGTCGATTTGCAAGAATCAATTCCAACCTTGCTAATATCTATACTATTAAAGCTGAAGTACAAAAATTAAGTGTTTGGAAACATGAATAGTAAATATTTAAAATTAAGATGATTGGAAACAAGGATAACCTACAAATCTAATGGGCTTACTTATTAAATTAAAAATTACTGCGGCCCAAAGTACCATTATTATTTTTTTTGGATTTTCTATCATTGATATTATTTTATTTCTGAAAATTATGTATACATATATGTACTCGTGTTTTAAATGTATGTA